GAATACCGCCGCCGCTGGGACGCCGCCTTCCGCTCTTACCTCACCCGATTGGACGCCCGCAAGCCCGTGGCGCTTTGCGGCGACCTCAACGTCGCCCACGGCGAAATCGATCTGCGGCACCCCCGCGCCAACCGGCGCTCGGCCGGCTTCACGGCGGAGGAGCGGGAAGGCTTCGGAGCGCTGCTGGACGCCGGCTTCCTCGACTCCTTCCGCCATCTTTATCCCGACGTTCCCCACGCGTACACGTTTTGGACGTATTTGGGCGGGGCCCGGGAGCGCAACGTCGGCTGGCGGTTGGATTATTGCGTCATCTCGCGCCGCTTGGAAGGGGCCCTCTGCGACAGCAAGATCCGCAACCGCGTCCTGGGGAGCGACCATTGCCCCGTCGCCCTCTACCTCGCCCTATAGCGGCGGCGGCGGGCGTGAGGCGGCTCGAAACGGCCCCGGATCGGGGGTAGGTGATGTCATTGGGGGCGGCGGTGCCATCGACCCCCCCGCTTTGGCCGTAAATCGGCTCTAAGCGGTCCGAAAGGGGGGGTTGATGAGGTCATCGGGGACCAACGTGGCGGCGCGGTGACCCCGTCGACGTCATCTTGGCCGCAAACCTGCTCTAAATGCCTCAGAATTGGGCTTGGTGACGTCATCGTGGATCAACATGGCGTCACGATGACCCCGTCAACCTCTCCTTGGCCGTAAATCTGCTCTAAACGCCCCAAAGTTGGGCTTGATGACGTCATCGTGGATCAATATGGCGTCACGACGACCCCGTCGACCTCTCCTTGGCCAGAAATCTGCTCTAAACGCCCCCAAATTGGGCTTGATGATGTCACCGTGGTGGCGTGATGACCCCGTCAACCTCTCCTTGGCCGTAAATCTGCTCTAAACGCCCCAAAGTTGGGCTTGGTGACGTCATCGTGGATCAATATGGCGGCGCGGTGACCCCGTCGACCTCTCCTTGGCCAGAAATCTGCTCCTAACGCCTCAAAACCGGGCTTGATGATGTCACCGTGGCGGCGTGATGACCCCGTCAACCTCTCCTTGGCCGTAAATCTGCTCTAAATGCCCCAAAATTGGGTTCGATGATGTCATCGTGGTCAACATGGCGTCACGATGACCCTGTCAACCTCTATTTGGCCACAAATCCAGCCGGAACGCCCCCGGATTGGGCTTGATGATGTCATCGTGGATCAACATGGCGTCACGACGACCCCGTCGACCTCTCCTTGGCCGTAAATCTGCTCTAAATGCCCCAAAGTTGGGCTTGATGACGTCACCACGGACCAACATGGCGTCACGGTGACGCCGCCAACGTCGCCTTGGCCCTGAATCTGCCCTGGACGCCCCCAAACGGGGCTTGATGACGTCACCGCGGACCAAGATGGCGGCACCGTGACCCCCTCAACCTCCCTTTGGCCACGGATCCGCCCCCGACGCCCCCCACGTTGGGCTTGATGACATCACCGCGGCGTCACGCCGGCCCCTCCCACCCCCGCAGCCCCTCCCACCTCCTATAGCCCACCCCCTATAGATCCTTT